GAACGGTGACGTGATTCAAGGTGATAAACCATTTCCACTTGGACTACGCACGAGTTGGGTCGGTGCAAAACTTGTCAGTAGAAAACTTTTGGATAACCCTTTTTCCATAATAGCAATTGTTTGACACCTGACGCAAAGGGAACCCCAGGACAAAACTTTATTATAAAGTGACATCCTACTGGAAACATGGACCATCGTGGACGCCCCGGGGAGGAGCACCTGCTGGCCAGAGTCAGGCGGTGGATAGGTATGATGTCTTATATATCATTTGACATTTTTTACGCACAGCTTTTACAAACACACGCAATTTATGAATTTAAGATAGACATTTAGTCAAACATTCTGAAAAACACAGTTTTAATGGGAACAGATATACACTCGACGTTTTCTCAGTGTAAAATAAATTAAAAATAAAAAAAAATGGCAGGACAGGCGTGGAATGTGTTAATAATGGTGTAGTGATTAGAAAACACCCTTTGTTTGGTTTCAGAGCAACACATTTACTAAATTTGTCGTCCACAATTTGGTATAAAAAGATGGCGCCTGGGCCATTTTTCGAATGATGCAAAAAATATACATTTGATTGTGCGCCAAGGAGATGATGGAACCTTTTGGAGCTAAGGTCAGAATGTAGGCCTGGCAGGCACGTAGGCATACAGGTGTCAACAAACCAGGGCCTGTTCTGTGTGGATAGTTCAGTTTGTTTATCGAAATTTACCAGAAGCTGTTGTCGGTCCTTATAATTTCAAAGTATATAACATTTGTGAGCTGTAAGAACGCGTCTAAAACGCAGCAGCAGATCATTGTTCTGAGCCCAAATGAAGATGAAGTGCTACAAGAGTCTGGCTGTTATTGGACCTGCAGACAGGGCCGCTGTCTTCAGTCATCACTCTGATAGCCTAATCATAATGTACTGAAATGTTTGTTGAAATCTTTTAGCTCCGAGGGAGAGTTTTTGTCACGCAGTGACTGCGCGCGTCATGCATCACCAATGCTCATTTACACCCCGTGATTTAGCCGACAACTCAAACCAGTATTGCACGACTAATTTAGTGCAAACAAAAGCACAGGTGTTTGTGTGGTTATTTTGGAGCAGCACTGTTGTTACTTGCGCACGAGGCCCCCACAGGTTCAGCGTGCGTAATGACGCATGAATGGCAGTTCCAGACCTTATTAGCACTACATGTGCTTTAGTGGAATATTTATCATTATGCCACCTTAGACTTCTCACTCCACTACATTTATCTCACAGCTGCAGTTACATGTTTACAGAATCCTATTTTAAATGCCAAAATGTGAATCATTACTACAGATGAATCTACCCAAGGTTTACAAGCTAGTTAATACAGTATCAGCTCCATTTCAACCAGCTACAGAATTAACAAGCTATTTAGAAGTTAATGCATAAATATAGGAAACATCTAATGATAAATGCGACAATATGTCAGGGTCAATTCTGCTGTGTATTAGGTGGTGTTACATTTGACAGTTTAAGTACATCATATCCATAATACTTTTAAGTAAGTAGGTAAGTAAGACTTTGAATGTAGAACTTTTACTTGTCATGGAGCAATTTTAAATGAGGATACTGCACTTTTATTTAACTAACATGTTCTACTGTGATACTTCCTTCACCACAGGAAGTAAATGTGATTATCAGGCTGATATTTCTGTAATTTACACAGCTTATCATAAACCAGGGAGTGCTGGAGACAGAAACACTCTGACCAGCGGTGAATTACTTATTCAGATCTTTTCTTTAAGTAAAGTGCTAATTTGATGATGTAATAATACTCCATTAAAAGAAAAATTCCTGCATTCAAACTTCTTCTTGATCAGAAGTGCATACTGCCAGTATCATCAAAAAAATTCATTTATAGTGTCAAAAGTAAAAATACTCGTTCTGCAGTACAACGTCCCCTGTTACTGATATGACATTGCAACTATGTATAAAGAGCATTGTAATTTTGTTGCTGGTCATGATGGAGTTAGTTATAACTATGGTAAATACAGGGGTCATGAGATCATTCAGTTCTGAGATGATTAAAGGAACAGGAACAAAAAACTCATAATATTCTGACACATTTACATTTTTTGGGCTATGCTGAAATTTGCTGTTGTACAAAATAACGGAGACTCTTCCTTCATGAGGACATGGCACATTAAACCCTTAATAGCATTTAGAGGGAATATCATTATTAGAACTGTTAACAACTCAAAGATTTGTGAATTGTGAGAAGTGACATCAACTAGACATTTCTTTTCAGTAAGGAGTGACAAGTACCTGAGGTTTAGAAGCACTGGTTACATTTTAACAACTTACTGTATTTCATAAGCTTAAATGTAGAATCTTAATCAGCAAAGTAACTTGTAACTGTGGCTAGAGTAGAAATATAAAGTAGCACAAAATGGAAATACTCAAGTGAAGTGCTAGTACCTGGCACATGCAATCTGAGCATCCACGTGTTCTGTGGCCTGCATTCACAACACCAGGACGGGCTACTACTGTATTCTGAATCTGTACATTCTTTTGCACTGCTTTCAAATACAGTCACAATTAACAACAACCAACAAGGAAGTGAGTTTGGTGACACAGGACTCAGTGTTTTCAAGAGGAGACTGCTATGACGGGTGTAACTTGCAGGAAACTATGATTATTGGTCAAATTTGCGCAAAAGTTGTGGTGATTGGACAAAACTGTGTGGTTGTGCAGAATTCTCAAGGATTGTTTGAATTTGCATTGATTGTTGTGATCGCAACGTATCCTGGAGGGGCTGCTTAATGTACTGTGTTTATATAGGAATATGTATATGTCGTTATATATTGACTTTTACACCTCCTGTTTAAGCCTGTTTTGTAACTTTTTATATTGTATTTAAAGGTATAGTAGTTTCTTTCACCTTCCAATGGCGACATTCAAAGGTTCTGATGCTGTTTGTCAATCATCCTGAAGAGAACAGGATCATCAACAACCCTCCACTGCCCCCTGATGGCCAAGAAGAAGAAGCAGAGATGGATGTTGGTTTAGATGATGAGGATGTGTTTCATGTGGCTGAGCTTCATAGAGATGGTGGAGGTGATGAGGGCCATGGTATCTTTGAGCGTCCCAGGAGCAGGAGAGAAGAGGAAAGAAAGGAGGAACTGAATCCCAATGATGACCAAAACATCAGATCTCCCTCTCCTTCACTTCAGCAGGGTCCAGCTGTTCACAATCCTGTTATTCATCCTGTTCCCCTTTATGCTTATCCTGATGATCTTTTTAATGCTTTTCCTTATGTCCCTCCTTATGCTCCTCCTCATTTTGCACCTCACGCTTTTCCTTATGCTGCTCCTTACGCTGACCCTGTTGCCTTCCTTCATGCAGCTCCTCCTGCTCCTGAGCAGCCAGACCATGGACTTGGTGCCGCTGGTGTGAATGAGATCCCTGTACCTGAGGTGTCTGGTCTCAATTACCCCGAGACACTTGGGCCGCTCAGCTCAGAGAGGTGTTTAGGCAGCTCTCTGGATGAAGACCCTGCAGCTCCCTCAACGTCTGGCCTCAGGTCTTCCACAATGAGAAACAGGGAAGAGAGCGAGGAGGAGGAGGCTGCTGCTAAGAGGCAAAGGTGGTCTGATAGAGCAACTCAGACTAGCTCCACAGCACTCCACAGGGCTGCTAATCCACACCTCTCGTATCAAACCAAAGTATCTCACAGGATAGCCACAATATCTTTTTTTTTACCACTGGCCTATGCGGCTGGCAGGACCACTGATTCACTTGGCCTACATGTAGCCTTTGTGTCTAGCGAGGCTTGTGACACCGCAGGTAGCGTCTTGCACAGGGGTCTTTTTCTACTATCATCACCAACATTTCGACACAGTGGCTGGATCGACATTTCTTTCACCCCGAGGACTGTATATTTTGTTGTGCAATTCTCTATGCTTCTCTATGTTGTTTCACTGTAAATAGTTAAAATTTTATAAATATTATACAACCAGAGATTGGATGTTTTTGTAAAATTGAGATGGGTATTTTTTTTTTCTGTACTGTAAAATGTATTTAACACTCTGGGTATAATAAGCCACATTAATAATAAACATTTGATATAATGTATGTTTTGTACATTAGTAATTCATTTTACACATAATTTTACATTCTTTTTGGTAATAAATCATTTTAAGCAACAAAAAATCTGAGGAGACACTTGGGAGTTGAAAGAGCTGGCTCTTTTTAGTGAGCCGAGCCATAAGAACGGGCTCTCTTAAAAGAGCCGGAATTCCCATCACTAGTTGTTTCCTCCTCCTCTTCCTCTTCTTCTGTCATCCAAGGCAGTGTAGACACAACTGGCAGTATTACTGCCCTCCACAGATAAACATATCCTTGAGCATAAGCCGGTAATTTTTTAAAAATTGACTAACAGCCCTTGCAATCAATTGGTTTCACTCAGGCTGGCCAAGTAATGTAGCAAGAGAAAAGCAAGGAATCAGATAATTTTTTACATAACTGGCTTCTCTCCATGGCATACTTCCTACAGATGATCAAACATGTGGAACTGTCTCACCTAATCCATCTGGATGTTCTCCGACTTTCTGCAGACATTTGTTCAAACCACAGTGACCCAGTCTCAGTCTAGTGAACCTAACTGAATCCCTGTGATTTCCATAAGAATAAAAAGTTATCCTAATAGTTGTCTGAAAACTAAAATAATGTCTCCTTCTCACTTATTTTTCCACTCCGTCTCAATGCCTTCTTTGGTTTTCCTTCTGTATTCAACCTTCTCATAAGGACATTTAATATCAGTTTCTTCATTCCATTCCTTGCTCATTATTCAAAATAGTCCAATTCATGATGCCAATTGTTGGATTACAATTCTTGGTGCATCACTTTTCTATTTCAGAAGGTAAATTGGGGGTAATCTCAGTATACTGCTGTGTAACTTGCAAATCAATTAACAGTACCTTGCAATTACAGTAACTTGCTATTTTTCACCTCAGTAATTTTAATCACAACAACAATATGGTCTGGAATAAAAAAAACTTTATTACTGAGACATCATTCAAATAAAACTCTGAACAATCCATTCAATCTAAAAACAGACACTTCAATTTGAGAAACAGTGGCACAACAAATTTAAAGACAGAAAAGTAAGGCAAGTTCTTCACAAAAAACTGTGATTCCATAGATAAATGAGAGACAAATTAAAAAGGCACAAGGAATATATATTTTAAAAAGACCATGCAGGCACATTAGGATGGAATGGGGTTGGTCTCAGTATAACCGGCTGGATCGGCCTCCTGCTTCTGCTTTCATGTTCTGACACTGTGGCCCTTGGAAAACCAGAGCTCCAGTGACAGAGACAAATTACTGGCTGAGGTAAACTGTCTTTATGTTTGAATAAATTGAAAATGACTGAAATGCTTTCCCTGTGAGTTTAAGGAGAAATCCCTTATGGGGGTTTAACTTTTAAAGCAAAAAATCCATTAAAGTCAGTCTTTGGTAAAAGAAATCAAAGGTAGTTAAAATGATTGGCCTGCAGAAAAAAAAATGTGTAGAAAGCTCAACTTGTCCCTGGATCATTCAAATGAGCTCAGTTGGAATTTCAACATCTGACCACCAGGGGGGAGCAGTGTGTCACAAAACTTGAATCTTGTAAGAGCAGAAAATGTCAGCAAGAGAGGCAAAACCACACAGCAAAGCACAAGAGTAAGAAGCTTTGCAAATTCGCTTGCCATAACCCAAGGGGTGGCAGAGGAAGAAGATTGAAATTAGCAAGTTCTGGAAGATCAAGAGCTCATTCAGAGTCCAGAGAGAGAGAGAAATCGGTGTCCAGTGTTGGCACCTTATAACAAGGGTGATGTCTTGAATGAAGGCCAGCTTCTCAGAGCATGAACGACTGGGTGTGTTTGAAATCCTGGGGCTGAGGGACACAGAAAAACAGGTATTATTATTATTATTATTACTATTATTAGTAGTCTGACTTGTTTTATGTTTGTCTCTCATTTCACAGTTCTGGCCTCTGTGGTGCCTCGAGGTGACGACTTTGTGACTTCTGTCAGAAACAGTGATGTTCATTAGGTAAGTGTGAAGTACTCATGCCACTGAGATGCAGGGAGGAAGAAGAGAACAAACTTACCTCTTGGGGTGGAGGGATGTAGTTGACATTAGACCTGAAAGAAAAAGGCACGGTAAGCACACTGGACACAGTCACCAAGAAGAAGAGACTGGAGGCAGACGACTGTGTCCTGAGTCATACTGTATCTTGCCCTGCATAAGTAATGCACATCACACATGGCAAAGCTCCCATGAGGTAAAAAGGAAAGTCAGATTGAAGTCTTGACTGAGCAGTGTGTAGGGAAACTGTGGTTCAGTGTTTGAGCCATGTCATTTGATAACAACTGTTCCTGTTCTCAACACAGATGCATACAGTCAAAATCATCTGTCTTATACACAACTGAAAACAAATCTGTAAAATGTAACCACTGCTGAATTCTTCAAGGAATAGTTT